GCTCGTCACGTTCCACAATTATGTTGAATAATTAAAACGTTTCATTAACTTGCTCATTTCCTGTTCGGCCATGTTTCAGCTCTGACACCGGCAATTAAAGGCAGAGCCGGACTGTACGCCCCTCTCATTCGGCCCGTCGCCACAGAGGACCACCTCATGTCTTCTGTGTGAGAGCAGGGCATCTGACAGGGGGAAAATGAGGAGCTTTAGCAGTTATCCACCTTACTTAACTGTGCTCAACACTTCAGTGCAAAAGCACACGCGGGGCTGACAATGAAATCTACGTGCTCAAGGTGAAATCGTGCAAATCTGGATTTGGACTTTTTTGTTAGTATTAATACAAATCAGGGAATGAATAGTTTACCTTTGAGAGCCAGCCTTAGGCACTGAGACATCCACCTTGAACACCTTTACATATTGATAGCTTTTTCAAGCGGTGTAATTTGTTCTATAATATTTTCTGATACATGCAGTCAAGTGAACAAATACCTTATTCCTGTAAGCTAGACATCCATCACATAGTATGGATTCAGCTCTCTTTCATGATGTGATTTTGAAGAACACATTTTGCACCTGCTCAACCACACAACACCGAAAACACAAATATATCTTCACAAATTCTTGGCTTTGTAAAAAATCTGGGGAATTATTTACTGAACATTAAAACCATAATTAGCAAAATCCTGAGCTGTCCTAGTTACGTAAGACAGCTGTTTTTGTCTTTTGAAATTGGTTTACTGGAAGAGGAGCCGTTTATCTGGCGAAATGGGGGGAAGGGGGCCATGTTTATCCAAGAGCCTCCCAATGCAGTCTCTGGCACAAAGCTGTCCTCCCCTATTGAGCTCATGCGCAGTACTTATACACCCCAATAAACACGATTAGCATGGCAGACTGTAAATATGCAAATGACAAAAGAGACTTGGAGGGGAATGTTTATGCTGTGAGCTCCATCTAGCGCAGCTCCTCCCCCAACCCACCTTGCTTGTGAAAACCATGATGAGGTTTATTGAGATGGGGTCTCTGTTAAAGCTTTCTTTGTTTCTTTTCTTTCATAAAAGAAATTCAACCATGTAATTAGAGCTTTGAATAGAAAGGCATGCCTTTACCGTCCAATTTTTATAGTAGCTGCTATTTATAGCCGCAGACGGAGGGCAGCTGCAACAACACACAGACGCCCTGAACCCGTATTGTGCACAATACTACTACCAGTCCAGTAAAGCAAGCTTGTTGCTTCTCCTACACTTTCGTCATATAGAATACAGACTTCAGTTTGCTGTCCTGAGGGTCTCTGATTACTATGACTGTTCCATATCTGAAGTGCTGAGGAAGACGTCTGAAGCCATCAGAGTCAGGAACCTCAAAGCCATATCTGTGATGCAACCTGGAATCTGGGCGACTTCAATGACTTACATATCATTTATAAAAAAGGCTTAAAGAGGCCCTATTAGGCTTTTTGGGGCTTTCCCTTTCCTGTAGTATGTCAAACAGGTGTTAGTGTATGTAAACGGTCTGCAAAGGCTAAAATGCCAAAGTTCCCTCCAGAGGGAGTTTCTCTCCCACACACTCCTCCCCTGCCTGAAACGCCTCCATTGGAATTTGTTTACTTCCATAACATAGTGACGTCACTATGTAACACTTGCGCTTCTATCGGGCGAGCACTCAAACACATTGTACTTGATAGGCTAAGGGGCGGGACATCTCTAAGGGGTTGACCAATGATAACAGAGCCGGTCAGCAAACCAATCAGAAAAAGGGGGAAAGAGGGGCTGCAGCACAGGTAGTATGAGAAGAATAAAGAGCTTTCTGAACATTAAATCATGGAAACATGTCACAGTAGAGGCGCAAAATACAAATATGAACCTGGAAATTAGCAGAATATGTTATTTTCAAATGAAACCAAATAACACAAAGCTCTCCCAACAGCTTAAGATACATTTTTATCAAGACTGCATAACTGTGAAATCCAGACTCATGTTTTATATTCTAATATTCCACCAAAAATAATCCAGTTATGAAAAATAGAGCCCTGTTCAATGTCAATGAGGAACACTGACAGTTTTATAAAAGCATTTACTATCCAGTATTTAGTTTAACCCTAAAATAGTCAACCTTTCTATATTTTGAGATTCTCTCAGTCTAGTAATACGCTATCATTCACCTGACCCTTGTCAATGTGCAAACCTGTGTGGGCGTTTGTAAATAAGAAACCCACACGCACACAAGCGTAACGGCAGCGGTCCATCTGGCGCAGTCCAGGCTGCTTCATGCAAAGTCAAGCGTGTTCGTCCTGAAGACTATCAGCTCTCCGGGGAGAGAGGCCATCGAGCAACATTATCGACATTATAGACGCCTCAGCCTGGAGATAGGCTTCACATCGATCCCCTGATTAATTACTATCTGCAGGCAGCAGCAGAGTAAGGGGAGGGAGGGAGAGGGAACTAAGTGAGAGAGGGAGGTGATGGAAAATGGGGAGAGGGATGCGGGATTGAGGAGAGAGAGGAGGGAGAGTACACCTTGTACAATCTGAATATCAGCTAAAGGCTACACAGTAATCTTCCAGGTGGAATAATATTGTATTGATATATAGGTAGCAAACCCTTATCTGAGCTGCAAACACCCCCTACCACACAGCCAAGGACAAAATGAAATTCACACATTATTAGTGTGGAAACAACTCGCAAAGACAAGTAGAGGACGCTGGAATAGCCACTACTGAATTCCCAAGCATGTTATACTTTACACAACGCAAATGAAGACAAAAGTATATGTCAAATCTATTCTGGAGTCTGTGTGCATGGCTAACGGTCACAAGTGGACGTGGTGTGGACAGAGTGGCTAACATTAATGAACTCCGGTTAGATCCTTTGGGCTACACTCCTCTTCCTCCCCAGAGACTGTGTTGCGCTGTGTGGAACATACGCCAATAAGCTGTTACAATGCCAGGGTAAGGGCTCCATTAGGGCCAATTCTCACGAGAGCCTCGTACATTGTAATGGCAACAAAAAACCATTTTTGTTTAGTTTGTTTTGTGTATCATTTAAGTCCTCAGAATGAGGGCTGCCACTCAAGGGATTTGACTCATCCCATAGAGGCTCTTCAGTCAAGTCAATACATGTATTAATGAAAAGGTTTGGTTTTGTGCTCAGAGTGATACATAATAATATTCATCTTCAGCTGAACTCCTTGGTGAGTACTGTAGTTCGTCCGGCAGTGGCTCAGTCAGTAGGGGCTTGGACTGTGAGCCGTAGGGTTGCTAGTTCAAGTCCCGAACAGTTTAAAAATATGGAGTGTGGACTGCTACTTGGAGATTTCCCAGTTCACCTCCAAGGCACCGGACACCCCCCCCCCCCC